TGAAGCAGGAAAGTGACCAAATAACTTCAAAATTTTAATCTTTCACAATTACTATGCAACTATTGTATGTTTAACTACTTCAAAAAGAGAAATCAATTATGTCTTTAAATTCCATCCAAGGATGTTTTACAAGATGGTATTTAGGGCCTTCTCCAGGAAGGGGGAATGGTGAATATGGAAGTCCTTCGGCAGAGGAGGGAACAAAGCTCAAGGCTTAAATAGTGGATGAATCTTGCAGGTTGTGTTGGAAACAAAATTCAAACTTCTGTCTTTATGTGCTGTTGTTCAATGGAGAGGTTCACTGCCTAAGACATTCTAAGCAAGTCTCTAAACACAGATTCCATACACCTTTTTTTGGTTGTGGTGTCGTGGCTGCTTACAGAGGCTGGTTACCTGTCACCAGAAAATCTGATATGATAAAAACACAAGCCGGGTAAGATATATCATTTTTCAATTAACACTGAACAGAAGATAAAATTGAAACAAAAAATGAGTAACAGATACATACATAGATTTTTGTTATTTTCCATCTATTTTTTAATAGAACTCATCTTTCAAATCTCCATAAATTTTGATAGACCACATGCATCAGCTGATAATTGAATTCATTTGAAGATCATAATTTTTAATTAAAGCTGCTCCTTCTATTTTTCTTTGCTGCCTATAACAGATCCAAGTTACTCAAGTGCAGTTATATTCAGCTTTGACAGCTCAGTATTATAATTATACAAATGTTGCATTAGAATACTAGGTAATTGAAAAATTTTACTTGTGAACTGTGGTCTTGCAAAAAAAGCACTAAACTCAGGAATAACTACAGCTGGTTATACACACTAGTTATTAAGGATTTCTAGTCTCTTGGGTACTGCTTTGAAAACACAGATTATGGGGTTGAAATAAAATATTAGCTTCAGTACCTATAAAACCTAAAATTCTGATTTTTGGAGGTCAGGTAAGTTACTGATGTTGAACATGAAGTCATTTGCACATACATATGCAAAACCATGAGATGACTTACACTATAAGAATGAATTTGTGGGTTCTGAGACCATAAGAGTCTTTTAAATTAACTAAGAGACAGACTCTCAAGGGTATTTAGGTACCACAGGCATGGTTTCTAAATCTGTCTTATCCCACTGAAACCAGGAGTTACAGGTGTATATATCTTTGAGGATATGAACTTAAGTAGAGCAGAGTGAAATGGCAGCAACGCATCACATAAAACAAACACCATTTTGTATGAAATAACCCCACTGAAGGAAGCCAAACAGCTTTTTTAATTAAGTGTTATTCTGTTTGAATAACAATATTGTAATTTGGACTTTTTTGATCTCATCTTATTGTCTGCTGTAATGAGAGCAGTAAGGCATACACGTTGAGATTTCCTAAGAGTGCTTACAGCTACTGTATAGCTGTGTTACATACATTATCAGTCAATTTAACAGGAGCACTACTGATGCAAATACAGATCCTTTCCCACTCTTTGGAGGGCTTCACAAAATATTGAGAAGAGAAATGAAATTGTGAATGGAAAACAAAAAAAAAATTAAAATAAAAATAAAAGCAGTTCTGAGACTAAAAGAATACATTTTTCCTATTTTACTGTAAGTTTCATTTATTTACTATTAGTAGTAGTACACTGTAGTTACAATGTCAAATGTACTTGGTCCAGTTCCAATGTATTTTAAGACAAGAAAACACAAATAAAGGGGTGAAATAAGTGTAAAATGTAATAAACACTTCTCCCACTTCAGGTGACAACAACCCATGTCATTGCTTTGGTTTTCATTTGACTGTAATACTGTAATACTTAAAGTGAACCATAATTTTGAAGGAACATTTTATAGTTGATCACCTTTCTTTGTCTAGACAGTGTTTTCTTTAAGGCCTTTGAAAGTGATCCAATAGCTTAACCGTTTTTATAAAGCCTGAATGCCATATATATAACTATTTGACAGACCTATAAAAAATTAAAGTCAATTAGTAACACCAATAATTATTCAGTGACCTTTAGCATGTTATAAACCTTGATCTGCTTTCCCTGAGATGTGACTGTCTATTTCTAGAGCTATAATGGGTGATTGAATCACCAAAACTATTACATAGAAAATAAAAGATCACTAAATTAATATGAATAGTTATTTATTATATTAATAAAATGCATGTGTGTGTGTGCAAATAGTTGAATGAAGTATGTAGGGCTTTGCCATGTCTCTTAGAGATACTTTGAGTTGCAAAACTACACACAATCAGAATTTTTAAAATAATTATTGATGTAAGACGATTTAATGGGTAAAATACAAAACATGGAACTTGTTACCTTTTATTTATGTGCTGATAGAGTTATGATAAAATATACTGTTCATCCCTTCAATATCACAGCCAACATAATGAGCAGCAGAGATGGAATGGGAGTTATATTTCTTTATTTCAGGCACATGTCTTGTAGCGTATGAAGGCACGGACCCCAGTCGGTGATGCAACCAGAATTGTTTATTATAACCAACAGGCAGCTTATATAGTACTAGTGTATCTTCTCTCCCAACCGACACAGGCCAGCAACCCCCAACCGCCAGGTGGGAGGAATTATAAAACTATTAATTAGATTAGATTAATTAGATTCCTATAACTCTCTTACGCCATGGCTGGTTTCTACATAAACTTCTTTTTCTAATATCATACTTTGTAAGGCAAGTACAGTGTGTGTTTGAGCATACATGACTTGATTTATGCTTTTGTAACACAGGGAAACAAACTGGTAAACATAACAATCATTAACAGATCAGGCCTGATAACATTAAAACCAATGACACTTCTGTGAACGGAAAAGATTCACTGCTTTGTCGTTTCTGATGATTGTTCATGCTGCTCAGATTCTAGATATGCTGGTATCCACCTGGGGCCATTCCTGTGGAAACACAAGCATATCCACGCCCCCAGGTTATCAATGGCACAGGGCCTTCCCATTGTCCAGTGGCCATATCACAAATATGGACCATTGGCCGTGTTTTGAACATTGGGGAAGCAACGAAATGTCGATTCACTCGTGTTGTTTCAGTGTTGTCTCTGTTTAGAAAATTCAAAACAGAAGTGGCTTTCCACAGTCTTTCCTGTGGTGGATCTTCCAGACTCCCCCTTTTTTGTTTAATTAGCAATTGCTTTAGCGTTTAATGGGCACGCTCAATGATTGCCTGCCCTGTAGGGGAGTGTGAAATTCCAGTGATGTGGCGAATGCCCCATTCCTGAAAAAAAAGTTGTGTGGCTGTAGATACATACGCAGGGCCATTGTCAGTCTTGACAGCTTCTGGAGTGTCGTTGGATATCTCTTTTCTCCTGTATGTGCAGTGGCGTTCCAGTGATGTGGCGAATGCCCCATTCCTGAAAAAAAAGTTGTGTGGCTGCTGCTGCTGCTGGAGAGCTCCCAGGGCTCTTGGGCTGTTGACTGTTTAGAGGGGTAAGATGGTTGACTTCTAGTCATATTTGCATATTGACCACAGTGGCAGCATTGCTCAAGTTCCCCCTTGGGTGATGTGTCGTTAGCTGATTCCCAAAACCGCCTTGGAGCTCCAGATGCCGCCCTCAGGACCAGATGCACCCCTTGTGACCCGCCACGGGTGGTTATGGCTTGGGCAGGGATAGGGGAGATAAAGGTCAGGTTGGTACCTCAGGGGGAGCACAGCATCACAGCAGCACCCCCAAACCTCACCAAACATAAAAGGGGGCCTTGTGGCCCGTGGATGCTTTGTTGCTCCTTGAGGTCCCACCCCGTGGGATGGAATCGGCTGCCTTGGCGCTGGCCTCTGAGCTTGTGGTCATGGGTGTACTTGGTGCCTTCATGATGTAGATGGGTGGGTGGTGGTGTCTATCCTGGCGGGCGGATGGGGCCTGTCCACGGCAGGATCTCTGCTCCTGCCTTGCCAAAGCCGCTCTCTGGCTGACGGCTTCCAAGGAGACATTTCCCAAGGGCGATGCTGGAGATGCAGGTGGAGATTTCGCAGGGGGCAACTCCTACTGCTGATAGAGCACCAACTTCTCCATGTCTGGCACGTGCTGTTCTGAGGTACCTGCTCCCTGAGGAGTGCCTGGGATGGGCAGGAGCTCTGCCTGGAGCCCAGTGAAGACAGCGAGGTGCATCAGCGGTCCCTCTCGCTTGGTCCCTGCCCAACCAGAGCTGCCAGGGAGTTTCTCGGCCCCGGTCAAATCGCCACCATGGTCATGATGGCGTGAAGGGAAAGCAGTGTGAAAATCATCTTTGTAGCCACCGTGGTCTTCACCGGCTGGGGTGCGCTGGGGAGACCGTTGGGAGGAGGAGGCTGCTGCTCTTGGCTGAGGGCTGCTGCGTGGGGATTTCCCTTTCCTTTCTGTGCCCCGCATTCTCCCCTCTTTCTCCCTGCGGTATGAGGTTGGGTGGATGCCATCAGCTCCCAGCGGACCCGGCTTCTCCAAGGTCGATCCATGGTCACAGAAGCCAAAACCTTGAGTAGCAGCTGTGCAGCCAGGCATTCACCTGCTCAGTTTGTCTCCTCCTTGCTGAGTCCCTTCTCTGACTGGGAACGTAGAGGAGAACACCGCCTGTGCTCCTCATCCTTCAAACATTGCTCTGAGGGACAGACGGTCTCTGTGCATGGTTAGAAGTGGTCTAAACGCTCCCCGGCTCTGGGGCAGCTGAGCAGTCAGCACCCAATGCCTGTGTTCCCCCAAAATCTGATGCACGCACACTCAGAGGTGCAACTTTTGTTCAAATCTGGAGTGGCTCGGCCCAGGCCATTGCCCCAAGGCAGGAGCATGGGCAGGAGGGGGAGCCTCATCTACAGAATCCGAGAAACCAGAGCCCACCACCTCAGCTCTTCAGCAAACACTCCCCGACGCCGGGGCAGCTGAGCAGTCAGCACCCCGTGCCCGCCTTCCCCAAAAAGCTGATGCAGACACTCGCCCTTTGTTCAAACAAAGACAGTTTATTAACAACTTTGCACAAAGGGAAGCTCCCAGAAGGAGTGGACTCTCTTGAAGACGCGGGGCAGCCGAGGGGACACAGGCACGGCTCTGTCCATGAAGACCTCTTTCAGACTCCATAGAAGAGCAGTCTTCTGAGCTGAGCTTGCACTTCCTCAAGCTCACGCAGTGCCTTGGCGTGGGCAGCTGGATCCTGCACCAGGCACTGGAAGAGGTTGAGGGGCTCAGCCGCCTGGAAGGCTGGGGGCAAGGCGATGTCCTCGGGCATGTTCTCATTGCCAAGGAAGAAGTGGTCGAGGCGTTTCTCCTCCAAGCACTGGCGCAGGTCCCACATGATATCCTGCATCCGCGAGACGAATTCCCTCCTTGTCCAGCTTGCCGGGGGCAGGGTGTTGAGGAGGTGCATCCCAACGGTCTTCAAGGTGCCGGTGGAAAAGCTTGTGCTCTCCAGGATGCCGGCGCAGAGCTGCAGGCATGTGAGGTGGAAGCTGTCCTGCGGGGCCTGCTTGGCCATGTGCCTGAAGAACTTGGCCTCGGCCACGGCATAGCTCTCTGCCCACGTTGTGCCCGGGATGAAGCAGCCGGGGTGCTCTGCAACCTGGCTGCTCAGGAAGATGTCCGAGTCGCCTTGCTGCACCCCGAACATCAGCTCCACAAAGAGGGATCTCCCGCAGGCATTCGTCAGCTGCAGCTTGCAGGAGCGGCGGGAAGGCAGCACCTTCATGCTGTAGTGATGCCACTGAGCCATCTCCCCCCAGGCTGAGCTCACCAAGGTCTGGAACCAGCGGGCAATTTTCTGCACGTCCAGGTAGAAGCCTGGACGTGCAGCGCTGGTGCAGAGGTCGTTTAGGAGGTTGGAATCCTGAGTTGTCCTCAGCGCCTCCTGGGGCTGGTGCACGAAGCAGAGCATGTTCTCCACACCTTGGCCCCTCATGCAGGTGCATTCCAGCTGAACGCGGATGCAGTTCTTTGCCGGCATCTTCTCCGCAGAGGCCTGCTCCAGATGGAACGTGTGCCCACGGGGAGGCTTCAGGGGCACAAGCAGGCGGTAGACCGCATCATGCCCCCGGGGATTCCAACCTTCAAAGGCGCTGCCCACCCCGATGGCTGGCTCCAGCACGGGGAAGAAACTGTTGGCCAAGCGCGCTTGGAAGACGCCAAGGAGGTCGCTCACCAGATCTTCCGCCACCCGGCGCTTGTAGGCCACGCTCTTCATTGCCCCACGGACGCGCTTTGCCAAAATCCTGACCAGACGCCCCTCATCGTCAGAGTCCTCTCCTTCGCCTGCTTCTTCCTCGTCCTCTCGGCTGCCGCAGGAGGTGATCTCCTCTTCCCAGCTGCTCTCTGGCTGCTGGCTCCTTTTCCTCAGCCACCAGCAGAGCCCAAGGAGCAGCACTAGGACTCCAGCGACCGCCCAGAACTGCCAGTGCTGCAAGGCAGCCAAGAGCAGGGCTCCCGGGGCAGAGGTGCTCTGCTCCAGCTCCTCCATCAGCTGAGTCATCTCCTGATTGAGATGCTCCTCCCGGAGCCACATGTGCTCGTGCGTGGCCTCCTCCAGCTCTTTGCCGACCATCGGCAGGCGCAGGAAGAAGCTCAGCAGAAGCAAGATGCGGACCGTCGTCAAAGCCATGGCCTTGAAGCGCACTCGCCGGTGGCCCAGGCCGTACTGGGGCAGCTGCCTGCTGGCGCCCTTTATAAAGCCGCCCCCATTGTGACGCGTCCCCTGGGGTGTCCCAGGCGATGGAGGGCATCACGGGCATGCGGCAACCGGCCATGCCCTTCGGCCTCCCCCTGGCTCAGCCAGAGCCTTTGAGAGAGTGTTCTGAGAAGATGTGATGGCAAGGTGCCCTTGGTTAGTCACTGCCTGGAGGACAGGGTCAGGCAGAAGTGTCCGGGACACCTTTTCCCATGGAGTCACGAGGGTCAGAGAGGACCACCTTGCTTTCTACGCTCCTTCCCAGAGAGGAGTCTCGGGGCGGCTGGAGCCAATCCTAGTGCCAGACTTGGTCGAGGCTTTGTGTCTGAAGGATTAGATCTGTGCAATCTATCCTTGTAGCGTATGAAGGCACGGACCCCGGTTGGTGATACAACCAGAATCGTTTATTATAACCAACAGGCAGCTTATATAGTACCAGTGTGTATTCTTTCCCAACTGACACACCCCTGCAACCCCCCAACTGCCAGGCGGGTGGAATTCCCCTCCATCAGTCAGGGGCGCCAGGCATTGTTTACAGGTCCTGTTTACAGGTCCGGAGATGCTTATGGGCCATCTTCTGCCATTGTTCCTGCTTCTTCTCCTGGTCTCTGCTTCTTCCACAGTCCTGTTAAGCCCTTGTTCTCCCACAAATCCTCTCTGTCACTGAGCTGAGGTTTCACAGTATAACACGCTCTTAGTCTTCTAAGACTAAGAGCGTGAATCTTGAGAAGGAATCTCTGAATCTTGAGAAGGAATCTGGAGGGGCGTCCCTGCTCAAGGTAGCTCGCTGCTGCTGCTGCTGGAGAGCTCCCAGGGCTCTTGGGCTGTTGACTGTTTAGAGGGGTAAGATGGTTGACTTCTAGTCATATTTGCATATTGACCACAGTGGCAGCATTGCTCAAGTTCCCCCTTGGGTGATGTGTCGTTAGCTGATTCCCAAAACCGCCTTGGAGCTCCAGATGCCGCCCTCAGGACCAGATGCACCCCTTGTGACCCGCCACGGGTGGTTATGGCTTGGGCAGGGATAGGGGAGATAAAGGTCAGGTTGGTACCTCAGGGGGAGCACAGCATCACAGCAGCACCCCCAAACCTCACCAAACATAAAAGGGGGCCTTGTGGCCCGTGGATGCTTTGTTGCTCCTTGAGGTCCCACCCCGTGGGATGGAATCGGCTGCCTTGGCGCTGGCCTCTGAGCTTGTGGTCGTGGGTGTACTTGGTGCCTTCATGATGTAGATGGGTGGGTGGTGGTGTCTATCCTGGCGGGCGGATGGGGCCTGTCCACGGCAGGATCTCTGCTCCTGCCTTGCCAAAGCCGCTCTCTGGCTGACGGCTTCCAAGGAGACATTTCCCAAGGGCGATGCTGGAGATGCAGGTGGAGATTTCGCAGGGGGCAACTCCTACTGCTGATAGAGCACCAACTTCTCCATGTCTGGCACGTGCTGTTCTGAGGTACCTGCTCCCTGAGGAGTGCCTGGGATGGGCAGGAGCTCTGCCTGGAGCCCAGTGAAGACAGCGAGGTGCATCAGCGGTCCCTCTCGCTTGGTCCCTGCCCAACCAGAGCTGCCAGGGAGTTTCTCGGCCCCGGTCAAATCGCCACCATGGTCATGATGGCGTGAAGGGAAAGCAGTGTGAAAATCATCTTTGTAGCCACCGTGGTCTTCACCGGCTGGGGTGCGCTGGGGAGACCGTTGGGAGGAGGAGGCTGCTGCTCTTGGCTGAGGGCTGCTGCGTGGGGATTTCCCTTTCCTTTCTGTGCCCCGCATTCTCCCCTCTTTCTCCCTGCGGTATGAGGTTGGGTGGATGCCATCAGCTCCCAGCGGACCCGGCTTCTCCAAGGTCGATCCATGGTCACAGAAGCCAAAACCTTGAGTAGCAGCTGTGCAGCCAGGCATTCACCTGCTCAGTTTGTCTCCTCCTTGCTGAGTCCCTTCTCTGACTGGGAACGTAGAGGAGAACACCGCCTGTGCTCCTCATCCTTCAAACATTGCTCTGAGGGACAGACGGTCTCTGTGCATGGTTAGAAGTGGTCTAAACGCTCCCCGGCTCTGGGGCAGCTGAGCAGTCAGCACCCAATGCCTGTGTTCCCCCAAAATCTGATGCACGCACACTCAGAGGTGCAACTTTTGTTCAAATCTGGAGTGGCTCGGCCCAGGCCATTGCCCCAAGGCAGGAGCATGGGCAGGAGGGGGAGCCTCATCTACAGAATCCGAGAAACCAGAGCCCACCACCTCAGCTCTTCAGCAAACACTCCCCGACGCCGGGGCAGCTGAGCAGTCAGCACCCCGTGCCCGCCTTCCCCAAAAAGCTGATGCAGACACTCGCCCTTTGTTCAAACAAAGACAGTTTATTAACAACTTTGCACAAAGGGAAGCTCCCAGAAGGAGTGGACTCTCTTGAAGACGCGGGGCAGCCGAGGGGACACAGGCACGGCTCTGTCCATGAAGACCTCTTTCAGACTCCATAGAAGAGCAGTCTTCTGAGCTGAGCTTGCACTTCCTCAAGCTCACGCAGTGCCTTGGCGTGGGCAGCTGGATCCTGCACCAGGCACTGGAAGAGGTTGAGGGGCTCAGCCGCCTGGAAGGCTGGGGGCAAGGCGATGTCCTCGGGCATGTTCTCATTGCCAAGGAAGAAGTGGTCGAGGCGTTTCTCCTCCAAGCACTGGCGCAGGTCCCACATGATATCCTGCATCCGCGAGACGAATTCCCTCCTTGTCCAGCTTGCCGGGGGCAGGGTGTTGAGGAGGTGCATCCCAACGGTCTTCAAGGTGCCGGTGGAAAAGCTTGTGCTCTCCAGGATGCCGGCGCAGAGCTGCAGGCATGTGAGGTGGAAGCTGTCCTGCGGGGCCTGCTTGGCCATGTGCCTGAAGAACTTGGCCTCGGCCACGGCATAGCTCTCTGCCCACGTTGTGCCCGGGATGAAGCAGCCGGGGTGCTCTGCAACCTGGCTGCTCAGGAAGATGTCCGAGTCGCCTTGCTGCACCCCGAACATCAGCTCCACAAAGAGGGATCTCCCGCAGGCATTCGTCAGCTGCAGCTTGCAGGAGCGGCGGGAAGGCAGCACCTTCATGCTGTAGTGATGCCACTGAGCCATCTCCCCCCAGGCTGAGCTCACCAAGGTCTGGAACCAGCGGGCAATTTTCTGCACGTCCAGGTAGAAGCCTGGACGTGCAGCGCTGGTGCAGAGGTCGTTTAGGAGGTTGGAATCCTGAGTTGTCCTCAGCGCCTCCTGGGGCTGGTGCACGAAGCAGAGCATGTTCTCCACACCTTGGCCCCTCATGCAGGTGCATTCCAGCTGAACGCGGATGCAGTTCTTTGCCGGCATCTTCTCCGCAGAGGCCTGCTCCAGATGGAACGTGTGCCCACGGGGAGGCTTCAGGGGCACAAGCAGGCGGTAGACCGCATCATGCCCCCGGGGATTCCAACCTTCAAAGGCGCTGCCCACCCCGATGGCTGGCTCCAGCACGGGGAAGAAACTGTTGGCCAAGCGCGCTTGGAAGACGCCAAGGAGGTCGCTCACCAGATCTTCCGCCACCCGGCGCTTGTAGGCCACGCTCTTCATTGCCCCACGGACGCGCTTTGCCAAAATCCTGACCAGACGCCCCTCATCGTCAGAGTCCTCTCCTTCGCCTGCTTCTTCCTCGTCCTCTCGGCTGCCGCAGGAGGTGATCTCCTCTTCCCAGCTGCTCTCTGGCTGCTGGCTCCTTTTCCTCAGCCACCAGCAGAGCCCAAGGAGCAGCACTAGGACTCCAGCGACCGCCCAGAACTGCCAGTGCTGCAAGGCAGCCAAGAGCAGGGCTCCCGGGGCAGAGGTGCTCTGCTCCAGCTCCTCCATCAGCTGAGTCATCTCCTGATTGAGATGCTCCTCCCGCAGCCACATGTGCTCATGCGTGGCCTCCTCCAGCTCTTTGCCGACCATCGGCAGGCGCAGGAAGAAGCTCAGCAGAAGCAAGACGCGGACCGTCGTCAAAGCCATGGCCTTGAAGCGCACTCGCCGGTGGCCCAGGCCGTACTGGGGCAGCTGCCTGCTGGCGCCCTTTATAAAGCCCCCCCCCCATTGTGACGCGTCCCCTGGGGTGTCCCAGGCGATGGAGGGCATCACGGGCACGCGGCAGCCGGCCATGCCCTTCGCCCCCCCCCCGGCTCAGCCAGAGCCTTTGAGAGAATGTTCTAAGAAGATGTGATGGCAAGGTGCCCTTGGTTAGTCACTGCCTGGAGGACAGGGTCAGGCAGAAGTGTCCGGGACACCTTTTCCCATTGAGTCACGAGGGTCAGAGAGGACCCCCTTGCTTTCTACGCTCCTTCCCAGAGAGGAGTCTCGGGGCGGCTGGAGCCAATCCTAGTGCCAGACTTGCTCAAGGCTTTGTGTCTGAAGGATTAGATCTGTGCAATCAATCCTTGTAGCGTATGAAGGCACGGACCCCGGTTGGTGATACAACCAGAATCGTTTATTATAACCAACAGGCAGCTTATACAGTACCAGTGTGTATTCTTTCCCAACTGACACACCCCTGCAACCCCCAACTGCCAGGCGGGTGGAATTCCCCTCCATCAGTCAGGGGTGCCAGGCATTGTTTACAGGTCCTGTTGACAGGTCCGGAGATGCTTATGGGCCATCTTCTGCCATTGTTCCTGCTTCTTCTCCTGGTCTCAGCTTCTTCCACAGTCCTGTTAACCCCTTGTTCTCCCACAAATCCTCTCTGTCACGGAGCTGAGGTTTCACAGTATAACATGCTCTTAGTCACTGGCCAAGGGTCTGTTGCGCCAAGGAATCTCTGAATCTTGAGAAGGAATCTGGAGGGGCGTCCCTGCTCAAGGTAGCTCGCTGCTGCTGCTGCTGCTGCTGGAGAGCTGCCAGGGCTCTTGGGCTGTTGACTCTTTAGGGGGGTAAGATGGTTGTGTGGAAAATAAGCTAAGTTTTGCTTCAGCTAATTGATGTATCATTGTTAGTGTGATAGTACTAACAAAGAAGCCTTAGTAATAGTAGAGTCTAATAAATTGTATCCAATTAATCCCCAAAAATGCCCTTGGTCTCTCAAGGGATCCTTGTTGGCAGAGCGTTATCTAGGTGAAGAGAAACAAACTGGAACATGGCCTTCAACACAAAAACCCAAAGGGTAGGGGAGTATCAATAAGGCCAAAGAAACCAGTCTGGTAAATCTGCCAAGTAGATGGTAACAAAGACTGTGAAATAACGTGTAGCATAATCAACTAATCAAAGGCGTGTTTAGAATAATGGTTTCATAGAATAGGTATATGTGTGCCTTATATGGGAAAAAGTGCAAAATAAACCTGTAATAGGTCAAGCGGTCGGGAAGAATGTGAGCTCCAACTTCTCAGCCAATGAGAAGGGAGACAGAAACTCAAGCGGCCGGGATAAAGGTATAAAATACCTGAAAGCTAAAAGATCATCGTGCATCTATTTTTGGTGCACCCGATTCAGCGCTGTTTCGTATTAATAAATTATTTTTTTAACCTTTGCTTTGGTGACTTTGTCCTCTTTAAATTCTAAGATGTGAGTCGGTGTTTCTCACAGTTGACTTCTAGTCATATTTGCATATTGAGCACAGTAGCAGCATTGCTCAAGTTCCCCCTTGGGTGATGTGTCGTTAGCTGATTCCCAAAACCGCCTTGGAGCTCCAGATGCCGCCCTCAGGACCAGATGCACCCCTTGTGACCCGCCACGGGTGGTTATGGCTTGGGCAGGGATAGGGGAGATAAAGGTCAGGTTGGTAGCTCAGGGGGAGCACAGCATCACAGCAGCACCCCCAAACCTCACCAAACATCAAAGGGGGCCTTGTGGCCCGTGGATGCTTTGTTGCTCCTTGAGGTCCCACCCCATGGGATGGAATTGGCTGCCTTGGTGCTGGCCTCTGAGCTTGTGGTCGTGGGTGTACTTGGTGCCTTCCTGATGGAGATGGGTGGGTGGTGGTGTCTATCCTGGCGGGCGGATGGGGCCTGTCCACGGCAGGATCTCTGCTCCTGCCTTGCCAAAGCCGCTCTCTGGCTGGCGGCTTCCAAGGAGACATTTCCCAAGGGCGATGCTGGAGATGCAGGTGGAGATTTTGCAGGGGGCAACTCCTACTGCTGATAGAGCACCAACTTCTCCATGTCTGGCACGTCCTGTTCGGAGGTACCTACTCCCTGAGGAGTGCCTGGGATGGGCAGGAGCTCTGCCTGGGGCCCAGTGAAGACACCGAGGTGCATCAGCGGTCCCTCTCGCTTGGTCCCTGCCCAACCAGAGCTGCCAGGGAGTTTCTCGGCCCGGGTCAAATCGCCACCATGGTCATGATGGCGTGAAGGGAAAGCAGTGTGAAAATCATCTTGGTAGCCACCGTGGTCTTCACCGGCTGGGGTGCGCTGGGGAGACCGTTGGGAGGAGGCGGCTGCTGCTCTTGGCTGAGGGCTGCTGCGTGGGGATTTCCCTTTCCTTTCTGTGCCCCGCATTCTCCCCTCTTTCTCCCTGCAGTATGAGGTTGGGTGGATGCCATCAGCTCCCAGCGGACCCGGCTTCTCCAAGGTCGATCCATGGTCACAGAAGCCAAAACCTTGAGCAGCAGCTGTGCAGCCAGGCATTCACCTGCTCAGTTTGTCTCCTCCTTGCTGAGTCCCTTCTCTGACTGGGAACGTAGAGGAGAACACCGCCTGTGCTCCTCATCCTTCAAACATTGCTCTGAGGGACAGACGGTCTCTGTGCATGGTTAGAAGTGGTCTAAACACTCCCCGGCTCTGGGGCAGCTGAGCAGTCAGCACCCAATGCCTGTGTTCCCCCAAAATCTGATGCACGCACGCACACTCAGAGGTGCATCTTTTGTTCAAATCTGGAGTGGCTCGGCCCAGGCCATTGCCCCAAGGCAGGAGCATGGGCAGGAGGGGGAGCCTCACCTACAGAATCCGAGAAACCAGAGCCCACCACCTCAGCTCTTCGGCAAACACTCCCCGACTGCGGGGCAGCTGAGCAGTCAGCACCCCATGCCCGCCTTCCCCAAAAAGCTGATGCAGACACTCGCCCTTTGGTCAAACAAAGACAGTTTATTAACAACTTTGCACAAAGGGAAGCTCCCAGAAGGAGTGTATTCTTTCCCAACTGACACTCCCCTGCAACCCCCAACTGCCAGGCGGGTGGAATTCCCCCTCCATCAGTCAGGGGTGCCAGGCATTGTTTACAGGTCCTGTTGACAGGTCCGGAGATGCTTATGGGCCATCTTCTGCCATGGTTCCTGCTTCTTCTCCTGGTCCCTGCTTCTTCCACAATCCTGTTAACCCCTTGTTCTCCCACATCTCCCCCTTTTTTGTTTAATGTACAGATTACATCTTAATGACTGTATTGAACCTATACTATTAATACTACTATATACTACTAATACTACTATAAATCATCATACTTTGTAAGGCAAGTACAGTGTGCATTTGAGCATACATGACTTGATTTATGCTTTAAACAAACATGGTAAACATAACATAACCATTATAGCATTAGAACCAATGACACTTTTGTGAGCAGAAAAGATTCACTGCTTTGTCGTTTCTGATGATTGTTCATGCTGCTCAGCTTCTATATATGGTCAAATGAATCGTGCTGGTATCTACTTGGGACCGTTTCCTGCGGAAACACAAGCATACCCTCGCCCCCAGGTTATCAATGGCACAGGGCCTTCCCATTGTCCAGTGGCCATATCACGAATATGGACCATTGGCCGTGTTTTGAACATTGGGGAAGCTCCGAAATGTCGATTCACTCGTGTTGTTTCACCAAGAGCTGTTAATAAGCTCATGGTATATCCTGATTGGAGACCATAATCTTTTACCGATTTCCTCAACTCTTTAACACAATCATAATCCAAAGCCTCCCACGCTCCGGGTCGATTTCCGCGATAAATAACAGGAAACGCTTGCAAAATGTCTGTGTCGCCTTTAGTTAAGGCTTCTTTTCGACATTTGTCCCACACACCGTGACAACCATTCAAAAGGGTTAGGTTATTCCCCACTGCCTCTGCCTTTTCATTATCAAAAGGAGGTAGATTAGGGTCTGGGTCTGGGTCTGTTGGCTCAGGATCAAAGGACTCTCCTGAGAGACTCTCCTCTGCACGGCAGGTGTTGTCTGCGGGTGGCGGTGGCGGGGCAGAAGGACTCGTTAGGCTCTCCTGAGAGGTCTTTTCTGTCTCTTTGCGGAGCTCTGCTAGAGCTTCAGATACCAGCCGCCACACTACTAAGTGTTGAGCTGCAGCTTCATCTGTCCCTGCAGCAGCGTCCCAAAGCTTTTCGCCAATTTGCTCCCACACCTCTTTGTCAAGGGTGCCGGTCTCGGGATAGCCTGGAACATTTTTTCGTACCCAGTCTAATAAAGTTATTAAGGACAGGGTAGGTAAAGATCATTTTTGAGGTTATAAAATACACTGTAATATTTCTAGATCCCTTTGCTGCTCTGACGGCAGTGTGCCTCTCTCCCAACCGACACAGCCCTGCAATCCCCAACCGCCAGGCAGGCGGAATTCCCCTCCATCAGTCAGGGGCGCCAAGCATTGTTCACAGGTCTTCTGGAGATGCTTATGGGCCATCCTCTGCCATTGTTCCTGCTTCTCCTTCTGGTCTCTGCTTCTTCCATAATCATGTTAACATCCTGTTCTCCTACAATGTCTTCTGTCATTGATGTTGCCTTCTGAAAACAGCTTCTTTTTTTTGAAGTGTAATGGGCATAATAGAGAAAAAAAAGCTCTTCTTCGGTCTGCAGGAGACCCAGGAATTCACCTTGTGAATAAGTTGCATTGTGAATATGTCTTCTTTCCTAGGAGTAGGCATGAAGCACACAACTGTTCATTTTTTTCTCATTTTGGTCTGAGGAATGTAGAAGCAGGTGCTGTTTTGTAAATTTACACACTTTTCCACATGTATCAGTATTTTTCCATTCCTGAAACTGAGATAGTTGAGGCCCCGTCCCTGGAGATAT